AATGGAGGCTGAAATGTCACCTCAAAGACTAAGAAAAATGATTGAATGTATTTTCCATAAGTCAAATACTACAGTTATGCTATATACAACAAAACAATTCAGCTCTATAAAGAAAATTCAGAACCAACAAAAAAGAACCCGCAATACCTATGCTATGAGAGTACACTAACAAGGAAAAGAATACAAGGAAATATTAAATAGTTGCAAAAATATCATTAATAGCAACAGTTCGGGCAGTAATTCCATTCAAAGTTTTTAACCAGAGAAGGTAAATTACTGATCACAAGAGATAAAGTTGAAAGTGCACTTGAGTTACTAGACAACCTACTAAAAGAAAACATACAACAATACATATAAGAGGCATAGATGCTACAACGACAAAAGAAGAAGTGCTGCAGGCGGTAGAAAATAAACTTAGATCCCTGGAGGATACATAGTACAAACTTAGTGATCTACGCCCAAATTGCAAAATTAGACATTAATTGTTTTGATTTACATATTACGTTTTTCCAAATTTTAAATAAATATTTTTGAGTAATTTTGTGATTTATTTACTACTAGAAAAAGTAAAAAGTATGTTAAACCTGAAAGGGAGCCTTCCATTAAAAAACGGAAACGGAAATAAAATTCGCCATGTCTGAAAATTTGTGAAAATTGGTTCGACAAGCAGCCACACTGTTTCCACGATTTATCATTGACTTGACACTTCTTATATTTATTATTTTAAAGGTATCATGGCAATTGAATTAACAAACCTATCAAACCTTCTATGCTTTGGTGGTATCTTATCAAGGGAAAAAACATAGCCATGTCAAATATCAAAAAATATGATTCTAAAATTATTTTAATCACTATTTGTTGTGAAATTCTCTTACAGAATACCATGCAAGATTAAATTAAATCCATCATTTCTTAATCGTTTATGAATATTGTTAGAAACTTATCTCTCGTCGTGACTTTAGAAATATTCATGAGCCCGAAAAAATATCTGGCAATACTTTAACCTCTTGTGCTATTATTAGTAAAAATAAACCAAGTCAACTCAATTTTCCGAATTATCTGTCAGAAAATCCAACAAAATTAAACGTGCAGTGCTCTAAACTCTCTTGGATTATTTTTCCCTTTTCTTCCTATATCCAGAAACACCAAGCGATTAAACCCATTCTGCGGCAACGAAACAAAAATCCCCCTTGACCTCTTAGAGCTGTTAGTCCCGGGTGACGCGAACCAGAGAGGCCACAGATTACAAGGATCGAAGATCCGGATACGTTTTCGAACCCTCGATGGGAAATAAAAATCCGGCCCTGTCGAACCACAACAGCTATCTACAGACCTTAGAGAGTTACTTTATAAAATAGATACTCTCATTTGCTTCAATTTTAAAGCTAACATTATTCGTACTTGTGCCGTAATTTCACAGGGCAAAACAATAACATTTTTGTTGGTCTATAAAAAATGATTTTATTAGTTATATTACACAAGGTGTTCCAATATGTATTAGAGATAGAACTAGATATTTCTGGAATTGAAATAAGTTGATTGGACACAATTTACCCCTATAATTATTGTGCATCGTTTGTCTGTTAGAGGGTTTCAAACCTTTAAAGTATAAACTCATTTTTTAAGATAGTTTTAGAACCGATATTGTGATTTGAACAGGATTTGGAGCAATTATGTTTTGCTAGGCGCTTTAAAATTTGGCTTTCACAAAGAGTGAGAAAGACACACTCATTACTACACAAATTTTAGAAGAAATGTTCGGCAACTTCAACGGCGATTGATTTTATTTTCGTAAGAAATTCTTTCTAGTATTTACTACATTTTTTGACTGCACTAAAAAAAACAGCTCGCACAGATTGATCATAAAAGCTGATCCCCAAAAAATCTTTCTTGGTACATCCAAGCGTTAAACACTCTCTACACTATTCAGAAAACAGTTCGAAGTAACCATGAGGATAATAAGCCGATAAAAGGCAGACCGCCAGAACAGTTAGTCACTGTTGCCGTGCAGTTCTACCATTTTATGTTTTAAAAATATCTTTTTTTACTATATTGTAAGTAATAATATTAGACAATGATTAAAACTAAATAGTTTTATGTAACCTTAGAAAAATAGTCAATTTAATCTATCACCGCTAGCTGTTTTCTAAATGTACTGTTTTTGATTTTTCATATCAGTTTAATATAGTGGTATTACATTACACTTCATTTCAAACTAATGATATTTATTCATACTCCATGTTGTTAAAGTAAAGATTTCAGTTAACGTCTCCTTTTTCAGCTGCCAGGGCTAATCTGGACGGGGCCTACTTTGTTTACACGGAATCCGAACCGCGGTCCTCGGCCATGTCATGGTCAATGGCCTACCGACTTGGAAAGTGTCTAAATCGACTCTTAAGCCGGCATCCCACGACGCGGGACTTGGCGAGTTTGGTGTGCGATTTGGCGAGCCACGCGTCGTGAGAATCGATGCGACGAGCTGCTCGGCTCGGCGCGGTCTTCCCGTTAGTTGTCGGTAAATGTGGCACAAGTCAAAGGATGAACGAGCATCGCAGGCTTGACTTGTCTGAACTTGTTGAATCATTTCCTACCATTCCCACGTAGGCTTGTATTAAACAAAAATGTTTTGCAGTCTCAGTAGAGTTCTTCATATCCTCGCAGAATAATCGTTGAGATAGATGTATTTTTTGCAAATTAAGTTTCTCATTTATTTATTTTTTAAAGAATGGAGTGGTCAAATGCACTAGTTATAGAATTTTTGGAACTTTACGAAGGAGAACCAGCAATTTGGAATCCAAAGGACCCAAACCACAAAAATAGAAATATTGTTCATGATAGTTGGAAAAAAATTGAAACTAATTTAAGTGTCAAATGCACTGTGGCGGAACTTAAAAAGAAGAAAGAAGCATTGATGGCAACTTTTAGAAAACTGTGGCAAAAAGTAAAAGCAACCACTGGAACCGGCACAGGGACTGACGACATTTTTAAACCGGACTGGTTTGTATATGATACATGCACATATTTTTACATAGAATTTTTTCACCTTTTTTTTTCTTTGTTTTTATTTAAATTATGTTCAACACTCATTAAAATAAAATTTGCTGCACAGGCAGCAATACGCTGTTTTTGTTGCAATCTCATTATTTGTTCTTCCCTTCACGATGTTGAATATACACTGCACTGTTTTCACTACTATGCAACTTAACAAGTTCAGTCGACGGTCGCGCGGAAATTTGCACTAGCCACGCGCCGCGCCGTGGGAAAGAACCACGCTCGCTGACTCGCCACTTGGCGAACTGACTTGCCAAGCCGAAATTCGCCAAGTCCCGCGTCGTGGGATGACGGCTTTTACGGTCGATTTCGATCTGTTTCCGACTTTGCGGCTGAGACAAGCCAAGATTCCCCGCAACATAAGAAAAATATTGGGTATACTTGTGAAAGTATTTCGAGATATGCTTCGCGAAATGTTTCGGGCGTAGTGTAAAGGGTGTTTCTCGTAAAATCTAGTATGCGATAATAATCTAGTTGGCGATAATGTGTAATGCCATGTCAGTTTCAAAAAAGATCTGTGAAAATAACCTTCATATATTTTAAAGTAATTAACATTCCTGTGTATTTTTATTGATGCTCTCTAACGGACAAAAAGAAGCACTTTTGTACAGAAATTAATATTGTTAATTACCTTATTTTGATTCCAAAAATACGTAGTGGTCCTATGTCCTTATCCAAATGGAATACTTGGACACCCTGCAATGTTCTTCAAGATAGTTAATTTTTTACATATTAATTGGATGACATACTAAGAATTTACAACTTTGAAAAACACCTCACTGTAGTATTGAGAAATAAAAAGGATTGGAAGGAAGAAACGTTTACTCAGCATGTAAAAGGCCATACCATAATTCTATATATTTTTAATTAATATACCGATGCTTCCAAAACCAAAGCAGGGACAGGGAGTATTTAGGCCGAAAACTAAATACTCCGAACCAATAGGCACCAACCAATGGCTACCTGCTCCAGTATCCCTCAAGCAGAAATTTACGCTATCGAAAGATGCGTACAATTTATCTTAGAAAGGAACTATCGAAAACAGGAAATTGCCATCCTATTCGATAATGAAGCAGCACTAAACGCGATCAACTCAGTAACCATCAATTCGAAGTTGGCCAAAGAATGCCTAGAGAAGCTAAACAAATTAGGCAAAGAAAATAAAGTCCTCCTACGCTGGATGTCTACTCACCAAGGGATAGAAGGCAATGAAAAAGCAAATTATCTAGCTAGAAAAGGAGCAAACACTCCCACTAACTGGACCAGAACCGTTCTGTTTTCCAAACTAAACCAACTGAAAGCGGAACTGAAGAATCTGGAAGACTCCATCCGTTACTTGGAATGAGTGTCCTCCAACGGCCTAAGACACTCGAAAAAGTTCCTCAGAACTTACGACCGAGAAAAATCAAAGAATTTCCTTGATTTAAGTAAAAGCAATCTTCGGATTGTCACGGGATTTCTAACAGGACACTGTCTCCTCAACGAACACCTCAGTAGGCTGAAGTTGAGAAACAACGGCGAATGCAGATTCTGTGGGGAAAATGGGGAAACACCAGAACACCTTATTACTGAGTGCGCCGAGACGACGACCATTCGTGCCATGAACTTTGGTAAGGCTGATGTGGATGGAGAGCTGGCCTCTGTGGAGCCGTTTCAGATACTGGCTTTTGTTAAAGCCCTGAGACTGTATGATGAGTTATAACTCGTTATAACTCAAGAAAGGGGAAGACACAAGAGATCTGTAAGGGCGCGGTGATTAACTCCCCTCCTAAATATTCTACATTCTTTTCATATTTATTAATTTTAATTTTAAATAAAGCTGCAGAGTAAACTTGTGTTTTCTTATACATAATAATAGTGAACAACAAAATGACATATAAACAACATAAAAAGAAGTAAACACCGCAAAAGACACCTCTATCCACTTAGATACTCTAAATTCTACTCACAATTATTAGCTCTGGGCACAAAATCGAATACCGCCCTGAACCCTTTGTGCTCGATGTTTTCGTCCGACTTGAAGTAGACCCACAGGTGCCTGTCCGAGGATTTGAGCTTGGGGGGAAAGGTGTGGATGCCGCAAAAGTGGAGCAGGACGTGGTTGAAGCCGTACTGGCCGTCCCTAACTTCAAGGTAGTCGTTTCGGCATCCGTCCGATTTCTCGATCTCGAAGTCGTCCCGGAAGTCCAGCTCGATCTGATGGTTCTTTGGAGCTGAAAATAAAAAAGGGTAAATAAACTATATTTATTATTATATTTAGTCAATACAGATATATAATAATTTAATTATATTATATAGTCAAAACAACAATTTATGCCGGGTTTATATCAATTTGGTAAAAAATAATGTAAAATATAATTTTTGTCAGTCAATTGGATGTAAACTCAAGGGGGAACAATTGCTTGCATGATATCAACCTAGATATGTTCTTAAAATAAACATTATTAAATAAAGATAATAATCTGGTCCACGTGATCAAATGCAAATGGTTCTGGTTTGCTTTAAAAAATACTGGAATATTTTTGGGGAATTAGGCAGCGGCTATATTATTAAAAATAACTGTTATCGTTAAAAATATGGAATTATTCAGTGATATGTGCAATCGTCAATGCCTAGTTAATATTTGAAGTAGATACTATTCTATTATTTCTCTTGTTTCCCAACTGTAAGTCAATATACTAAAATAGCCATAGGATTCTTAGAGAGAGCCAAACATTTTAAGGTCGACTGAAGCTATCTCAAGCCGAATGATTTTGAAGCCGGTTCGAAGTGAGAGAGGCGTCCAGAAGTGAAGAAAAGTTCGAAGTATCCAGCGGCGGTCCTTAATTAAATTAGCTTGCTATTATTTTACGCTAATCTCGTTCATCCGCCTCGAGAACAGATTTTTAATATGCGCTTGATCACCGGAAAACGTTCTCTCCAGGTACGTTTAGGGGTAGTGTATTTCGACCCCAAAAACATTTATTTTTGATTATTTTTTTGATTATGAGGGTTTTTTTGCGAACATTTTTTGGAAAATTTGTAAATTTTATAAAAAAAAATTCTGGAAAATCTGGAATTTTTAAAAACAAAATTTCACAAAAAAAACCCTCATAATCATGTTTCTGGGGTCGAAATATACTACCCCTAAAAATATTTACACTTATTTCAGACTCACCCTATATATATCCATTACTTAACACTCCAAAAATATTCCTGTACTCTTAAATCAAAACAAAACAAAGTTTAATTAATCCAATTTGCCTTCTTAAACCAGGAAAACTGTTGCTAATTCTTAACAAACAAATTAGGAAACGGAAAACGTACCTGGAAGAGAACGTTTTCCGGTTATCAAGTGCATAATAAAACTTTGTTCTCGGGGCGGATGAACGAGATTAGCGTAAAATAATAGCAAACTAATTTAATTAAGGAGCGCCGTTGGATACTTTGAACTTTGCTTTACTTCTGGATGCCTCTTTCACTTCAAACCCCACTAGGGCGCTTTAAAATAATTCGGCTTGAGATATCTTCAGCCGACCTTAAAATATTTGGCTTTCTCTAAGAATCCTTGATCTATTTTAGTTTATCGATTTTACTATTTTACCATTGGGAAACAAGAGAAATAATAGAATAATATCTACTTCAAATATTAATTAGGCACTGATGATGGCGCATATCACTTAATAATTCGATATTTTTAATAATATAGCCACTGCATAATTCGCCAAAAATATTCCAGTATCTATTCCAGCAAAACAAAACAACTAAGAAAATAATTGCTAATTCTTAACAAACAAATTAGGAAACGGAAAACGTACCTGGAAGAGAACGTTTTCCGGTGATCAAGTGCATAATAAAACTTTGTTCTCGTAGCGGATGAACGAGATTAGCGTAAAATAATAGCAAACTAATTTAATTAAGGAGCGCCGCTGGATACTTTGAACGTTCCTATACTTCTGGATGCCTCTCTCGCTTTAAACCCCCTCTATAACGCTTTAAAATAATTGGGCTTGAGATATCTTCAGTCGATCTTGAAATATTTGGCTTTCTCTAAGAATCTTAGATCTATTGTAGTATAGTGATTTTACTATAATTTTACAGTTGGGAAACAAGAGAAATAATAAAATAATATATAACTTCAAATATTAACTTGGCATTGACGACTAAACATATCGCTGGCAGATGTTTCAGAGAACGGAATCCCATTGTTATCAATAAAATATCGCTGTTTTTATTGAGAATATATGCCTGCAAGGCAAAGAAGAACAATATTATAACGTCTACATCTACTTTGTTTCTTAAAGTTTAATACAAAAGGGCAAGAAACGCGTGTGAAACTCTACGTTACTAAATCAATATAAATGTATGAGTATTATGACGCTGCATATATCTTATACATGCCTCGCTGCTATAATATTCTTTTTGTCTAAATTAAATATATTATAGCAGTGTCAAAACAAGTATATTAAGTTAATTTATTTAAATTATTTCTTAGAATTTATTTTACATGATAAAACTGCAAAGTAAAGTAACATATCTAGGTACAGACTTTTAGTAGGGTTGCCGGAACAGTCGTTGTTTTATGGAACCGGAAATTTCAGTACAATACCTAGTAGAACCGACATTTTCCGGTTTTCTCGGTATTTGCTGTACTAGCTAAATTTTGTTCATTATTGGTGCAGTTACACAACAAGCAAGGCATGGTTTTCAAAACTAAAATCGATAAAAAAGTATTTTTAATAAAAATAATATCAAATTATTAAATAATCAGTCATGAAAAAATTAGCATGAACACAAAGATGGCCTAATCCTTCGAAAATTTGCCAGTACTTCTTAAACCAAAACAAAACAAAGTTTAATTGGTCCATTCGGTCTTCTCCAACCAAGAAAACTGTTGCTAATTCTTAACAAACAAATTAAGAAACGAAAAACGTACCTGGAAGAGAACGTTTTCCGGTGATCAAGTGCATAATAAAACTTTGTCCTCGTGACGGATGAACGAGATTAGCGTAAAATAATAGCAAACTAATTTAATTAAGGAGCGTCGCTGGATACTTTGAACTTTCCTTTTCTTCTGGATGCCTCTCTCACTTCAAACCCCCACTATGGCGCTTTAAAATAATTCGGCTTGAGATATCTTCAGTCGACCTTAAAATGTTTGGCTTTCTCTAAGAATCCTTGGTCTATTTTAGTTTATCAATTTTACTACTTTACTGTCGGAATTCCAGAGAAATAATAGAATAATATCTAATTCAAATATTAACTATATAAGCAATCACGATTGCACATATCACTGAATAATTCCGTATTTTTAACAATAACCTTTATTTTTAATAATATACATCTGCCTAATTCCACAAAAATATTCCAGTACTTTTTAAAGCAAAACGAAACAATGTTTCATTAGTTCAATCGGTCTTCTTGAACCAAGAAAACTGTTGCTAATTCTTAACAAACAAATTAGGAAACGGAAAACGTACCTGGAAGAGAACGTTTTCCGGTGATCAAGTGCATAATAAAACTTTGTTCTCGTAGCGGATGAACGAGATTAGCGTAAAATAATAGCAAACTAATTTAATTAAGGAGCGCCGCTGGATACTTTGAACGTTCCTATACTTCTGGATGCCTCTCTCGCTTTAAACCCCCTCTATAACGCTTTAAAATAATTCGGCTTGAGATATCTTCAGTCGATCTTGAAATATTTGGCTTTCTCTAAGAATCTTAGACCTATTTTAGTATAGTGATTTTACTATAATTTTACAGTTGGGAAACAAGAGAAATAATAGAATAATATATAACTTCAAATATTAACTTGGCATTGACGACTAAACATATCGCTGGCAGATGTTTCAGAGAACGGAATCCCTTTGTTATCAATAAAATATCGCTGTTTTTATTGAGAATATATGCCTGCAAGACAAAGAAGAACAATATTATAACGTCTACGTCTACTTTGTTTCTTAAAGTTTAATACAAAAGGGCAAGAAACGCGTGTGAAACTCTACGTTACTAAATCAATATAAATGTATGAGTATTATGACGCTGCATATATCTTATACATGCCTCGCTGCTATAATATTCTTTTTGTCTAAATTAAATATATTATAGCAGTGTCAAAACAAGTATATTAAGTTAATTTATTTAAATTATTTCTTAGAATTTATTTTACATGATAAAACTGCAAAGTAAAGTAACATATCTAGGTACAGATTTTTAGTAGGGTTGCCGGAACAGTCGTTGTTTTATGGAACCGGAAATTTCAGTACAATACCTAGTAGAACCGACATTTTCCGGTTTTCTCGGTATTTGCTGTACTAGCTAATTTTTGTTCATTATTGGTGCAGTTACACAACAAGCAAGGCATGGTTTTCAAACCTAAAATCGATAAAAAAGTATTTTTAATGAAAATAATATCAAATTATTAAATAATCAGTCATGAAAAAATTAGCATGAACACAAAGATGGCCTAATCCTTCAAAAAAAAATTTGCCAGTGCTTTATAATCCAAAACAAAACAAAGTTTAATTAGTCCATTCGGTCTTCTCCAACCAAGAAAACTGTTCCTAATTCTAACAAACGAATTAGGAAACGGAAAACGTACCTGGAAGAGAATGTTTCACTGGTGATCAAGTGCATAATAAAACCTTGTGTAAACGGATGAATAAGATTAGTGTAAAATAATAGCAAACTAATTTAATAAAGGAGCTCCGTTGTTTGGCTTCTCTAAGAATCTTAGATCTATTTTAATATACTGATTTTACTATAATTCTACAGTTGGGAAACAAGAGAAATAATAGAATAATATATATAACTTCAAATATTAACTTGGCATTGACGACTAAACATATCGCTAGCAGATGTTTCAGAGAACGGAATCCCTTTCTTATCAATCAAATATCGCTGTTTTAATTGAGAATATACGTTTGCAAGATAATAGAAGAACAATATTATATCATCTACGTCTACTTTGTTTCTTTAAGTTTAATACAAAATGGCAAGAAACGCGTGTAAATATCTACGTTGCTAAATCAATATAAATGTATGAGTATTATGACGCTGTACATATCTTATACATGCCTCGCTGCTGTAATATTCTTTTTGCCTAAATAAAATATATTATAGCAGTGTCAAAGTATATTAAGTTAATTTATTTAAATTATTTCTTAGAATTTATGTTACATGATAAAACTACAAAGTAAAGTAACACACAGGTTTTTAGTAAGGTTTCCGGAAC